TACTCTACTATTTTAGGAGCTAAAGTAGTTGGATAAAGACGGGGGGAGGTATTACTCGGCCACAGTTTTGTCCTTTCCTCTACCTAAAGTTTACGTTGTGAGCGCAGAGCCGGGGTATTTCGCAGAGAGGGCATCGTCTCCCTCCTCTAAACTTTGACCTCGGTTTGAGAAGCGACAACGCGGCTCTGCAGAATGCTCCGCAATTACGCTGGACTCCTTTTTTTGCTAGGGCCCAGTATGGTGCTACATGCCTCATTTTTATTCCTTTGGAGATGAATCCTCTTCATTCGAATCAGATTTCGGCCGCACTATTAGTTCACTAGGAGCGTATACAAGTACCTGAATACGAATCACGCGTTGTGAACGAATGAGCCATTTTGGTAAGCTACAACAAGTCTGACTCGCGTCGCTTGCGGCGAAAGAGGTGTTGCAAATGATGTCATGCACGCGGCATTCGCACCAGATTCTAGTTAGTTTAGTGTGGCAGCGTTGCTGCGTGCCCTGTCAGCTGTCTGGGAAATGTTCTGTTAGTTGGCGCATAAAGGCATAATTTGGAATGCTCAAGTTTGAATGAAGGCCGCACTTCTGGAAGTGGGTGGCCGAGATGTGTCATACAAACCTTCGAAAAGCTCATTATTATCGGTGTTATGCTAATTTATCTTTGATGAAAGCTGGAAGTGCGGCATTGTCTCGCGGTTGTGTGGATTGGCTCCTAGCGCGAATGCTGCGCTCGCTTGCAAACCTCATCTCATCGGGCTTGTACCAACTCAGAACTAACGACTTACACCCTTACCCTTGCGAACTAACGACTTACACCCTTACCCTTGCGCATTACATCGTTTTTCTGCTTTTTCTTATTCTTCGGAATTTCAGGGACATTCACGATGACTATGATGTTGGCTGTAACGGATATTCTATGGACTACCGGATAAAAGAGCAACAACGGTCAGTTCAGTTTCATTTCTTACTTTGCTTATTTGAAAAGGGGTCATGAGAAAGGGAGGTGTGTACTATTATCACCGCAGAAGCTCAAATTTTTGCTGAAAGTTTGCCTTCAAAGATAATTCGGCGCCCTGATCACGATTATCACATTCCTTATTTGGCGTTAGTGCCATTTATCGCCATTATACGGTTTTGGCGCTGTGAGGCAGAGCCTGAAAGCAAGTGGTTCCTTTTCCCCAGGCTCAGCCATAGCAGGGTTGCAGATGGTCTGTTGCCCTACACTGGCGCCAGTGCCAAGAATGAATTTCGTTTGAATCGAAATGAAATACGATTTATTGTCGGCAGTTAGGCAGGTCCGACCTACAAGCTAATGAATGTCTGCTACGATTCCTTTTTCAGAATCCTCCAAAGTGTTCGCAGTGAACTGATTGACTCATCTGCTAAACTCAAAGAGGTCAATGTTGTTTATGAGGAGCTCAATAAGAAGATCCCTGAGAAACGTTAGTACTCTCAATTTTACTTAGATTTCCGACATAATAAATGGTGAGTAGTAATAAGTCTCAGACCTTCTGCTACGCTTCTCACATGACGTGAGTTGCGTGAGCTTTACTCCTTCCAAAGCCTGCTGTACAGTTTTGCTAAACCTGGACTGATGACGTATGTACTGTTTGCCGTCCCTGCCACAGTTGATTGGGGCCACGAGGCGACGCGTTGAGGTGGCGTGACGGGGAACTTGTTGGGACCACGTATGTCCGGATGGGAAGGGAAACGAACACCTACACAGTTCTTTCAGGCTGCCTTCTTCTTTGAGAGATTGCATTCATCTCTTTATATTAGGCTTTGTAGAGCGCAGGCGACCTGAGCCCGCACGATCTTGTATCAGGAGGTTGCGTTCATACTCTGCGACTCGGGACAGCGCTGGTTTAGAAGTTTTACTTTGAGAGAATCGGAAGAATGCAATTTCTCAGAGACTGCTCAAAATAAATGGTGTGGTAAGCCTGACGTTTTGAGGGCATAAAAGATTTGTTGCTGTAGAGGAAACGGGAGTGTAAGAGAGCAGCAAACTGGGGCATTATGCATCATAAGATAGCGACATCCGTAAAAGGTGGGACTAAAGATTTTTGTCGCAATCTTATGACGCCTAGTGTGGCAGTCTGCTACTGTCTTATTCTTACTCTCTTATTCTCTCATTCTCTCTATAACGACCACTCTTCCATTCCCTTACGCCAGACCAATACCTATACGTTTCTTTTCGCGCAGTTTCCTGAATCGCGAATTCTCTTTAAATGCCCACTTCTCGCGAGTCGCTAAGCATGAACGCAGCCGGAGCACAGCGGAAGTACTTCATCGCACTGCTGCGTGGGCCCCCATCAGGTACCGTAGCACTAGTAAGCCTGCCTTGCTTTGCAAACTCTGAGACTCCATATTCTAATGTGGTTTATGGCCAAGTTATCCATTTGCATTACATTTTGCTTACTTTTATAGAAAACTTGATTCTTTGACATTTCCTTTCCATCTGTCAAATTAGCGCTCTAGGTTATCCATTACCTCGAGATTCAATGAAAATTATTATTAACTGATTATTTCAGAATTAGAACTGAGCGCTGTACTGGACGAGATCGAGAGTGCGAGACGAACACTGAAGGAGCTTCGGGATCAGCGTAATGTGCGGATTTTTCTTCCACATAGGCCTTTGTACCCAAACGTCATTGAGGTCTCGAACTCATTTCATGCTGCTCCTTTGAACTCATTGCCCCTTTCATGGGAGACTGCCATTGATTATAGGTGAGTCCTTCCTGCTTTCTTCAAGTATGACTTGAAAGTTCTACTGAAATATTTCAGTCGCTGCTCCATAACCTCTTTTATGCCTTTGTACATATACCCGTTATTGAAACCAAATGCTCAACTAGAAGAATTCATGACCGAACTCCTTTCACAAGGGAATATTGTTTCGAATCCAAGTATAGCATGTTTATTGGTATGTTTACATTTTATTCATCTCTTTGTTTGTTTGGGTTTTTGTCCGATGTGCTACTAAGCTAACTGCCATGCTTTTCAACGGGCTAGGAGCTTTTTTTCCAACAGTTCCACCGCGTTCACACTTCGGACTCGAGCGATACAGTTGTGCTTTTGCGAACAACTGCGCTCCGACGTTAATCGCTCAACAGCCCAACGTTTGGCGATGGAACGCGGTTGGTCGCAGTAAGTTTCCGCCGGAATATGAACGGATTTGAACTTGCAGCGATTCAACGGTTAGCAATGGAGTGCCCGTCACAGTCTCGCAATTCTAGCAATAATTTCACGCGGATAAATCGCTCAAGTCTGCGAACGCAGCCTTCGTGAAAACTGTAAACGGCTTTCTTTCAGGTAACCCTTACCGCGGAAGAAATTAATATTTCTCCGAAGAATCATCTTAATGGAGGTGGAAACCATGTTATTATTAATATAGGAAAATCGTTTTATCCCAAAAATTCTTCGCTGTTGATGGTGCAACAAACTAATCCGCCTTTATGGAGGTACTACTTCCCTTTATTATCGTTTACTGGTTTTTTTGTTTGTTTGTTAACCCTTCTTTATGCGCTTTTGTGGATTGCAAGAGTCTGTATGAAAGAGAGGCAGAAACGTACCAGAGTACGCAAGCGCGCTTGCTGCTCTTCGGTATGGGCGAAGAAGGGCTACCTCGGTTAACACCAAGGAACTGTGCAGTCATACTAACTGAAAAAGCTCAGCATAATTTTTCAGGCCTCTTGACTACAATGTATTTCTCGAAGTTCCTAGTTATAATGCCTCTTCTTGGCAGCAGTTAAGATCAATACTACCATTTTCACGAAAGGTGAGCGATCTTAGAGATTAATTGAGCAGTCTTTTTCTTTTTTCTCCACTTTTTCGTTTTATTGTTCTATCTTGCATTCCGTCCAAGGGTTTCTTCCATATTTTCATTCAAGAGGTGGATTATGGTGCCGCAGATCTTTTAGATAGGGAGGGAGGTCTTTAATATTCTGCTGCACTTCCGTGGCAGTTAGGTGGGCGGGGACAACCAACCGTTGAGCCTTTAATCACCCAGAATGAAGATATTTAGGATGACAGCCAGGTAATCTTTGAATTTTCAAAAGAGTTTTGGGAAATATTGGTCATGGAGCGGCATTTACGAGACTTCTTGGAGGGTAGCGTCATTTTAGTAGAAGACCGTCTTTTAATTTCGATTACCCACTCCCCCCCCCCCGAACAGCCGTTTAGGCTCAGGCAAAAGTCTTCCAAAGTCCATAGAGTGAATCCCAGTTTTGCTCAAGGATTATTAGGGTTTATTATTGGATATTAGGATTATCATCATTCATTACCTAATGCATTCTAATCTAATTTTTTTTGCTCAATTTATTAGTCGGCGGTACCACTGAACTTA